TTCGCCATTAGTCTGACATCGTACTATCACTATTTGGAACACGTTCAGTACTTACTATTATTGGGTGTAACTATTAATGCTATACAATGTCGCTTGTGGTGATAAACTCCCGTATTGTAATTTTTTTCAGTTGTTTATGCTTGATACAAACTTCTTTAAAAAGCTAACTGGGATCACCATTTTAATATAACTGAGGAATAAGTAATATCAAAACTTCTACGATGCGATCAGTGCACACAATTATGCTGCCTTATTTCAAAGTAACATTAATTCAAGCCAGTTCTCTCATAGATCATGAACAGCTCCTTCGGAACGAGGAATGGAGGTGATCTGAGGATGTCAAAAGGTATTTCAACACTGTTCAGTATAGTTTCCAAAGCGCTTGTTTGAACACAAGTATACGGTTCCATTAATATCACTGACGGCTTATTGATACTGGATTTCTTGATTATCGAATTAGTTTTTTGTCTCCATCCGATGAGTACCATATTGAGGATGTATTGCTGACTGAGTAAATGACGGCCTGTTCAGCAATCAAGTAGCGTAAGAGCGTGAGAACCATTGATTTAAAGGAATCTTTTCAGTAAATACATCAAACTGGTAGCGCTAGCGATACTCTTTTAGAAAACGTTTTGAATACAAGTTTAGTAACTTGAGTCAGTTGCAGAAATGAGCACCTCGCAGCCTACGAAGGATTCCATGCAAGTCTTTCGAATTACCTGCCGAATTTTCTCAAAATAATAAGGTCGATTCAGTTTTTGTTCTTTTCGATACAGATAACAAAAAGCAATGAGTGTCTTATTTTCTTGTGAAAATTCATGAGCAGTCATTTGGAATATTCGCTTTTATAGCATTCCAGACTGTTTCATGTCAAGGCACATCTCATACAATCCGCTCATCAAGACTTATTGTGTACCCGGATTTATTGCATGCTTTCAAACGTGAATCGATGACCAATTTGAGCGTCTTTCCTGAAAATCATCCTTGATCGTTCACTATATTGTCACTTCAAAACGTTCCATTTGCTTCAAGTTTTAATCTAATGTAATGGTACTGGAAAATGATTGGAAGAATGCAAAACGTCGAAAGTGAGAACGATTGACTGGAAAATGCGACGTGAGAGAGGTGACAATGGCTTAAAACACCAGCAGTTGTGCAATGAATAAAATCGCGCACTTCAAGTTTCAGCGGGCATCAGAAGGAAGCGAACGTGCTAATGAATTATAATCTCCGTTTCAGGATCACAGCAATCAACCACTGAAATGCGTTTATTTTTGGTAATTGCTGCGATATCGCCCAGTATATGCGCTCTTCAGTGTGGGTTTGGTTACACAGGAACTGGATCATTTAATCCTTCTGCGCACGGATTACCTCCTATAGGAATTCATCCAGTGAACTGCAATGCGTCTGCAAAATATTGTGCGTCCGCCACTGTTGGAGGCAGGTTTTCTCAGTTCTGTTTTTTCATTGCTGATTCTGTTCTTGATACAAACCAACTCAACCACTGACCGTACTAGAACATTAATGAAGATGAAATTGAAATTGGTACATATATTTATGATATTGGAAGCTTGTATTATTCCTTGTTTATAGCCTGACTAGTGTAAGAATCGTCGATTGAGTGGCTTATAATGATATTGAATTCCTTTGAATATTGAGAGTAAGCCACCAAAATATTTGAAACGGGTTCTTGCCCTCTTTTTCACAACCGTTTGATGGTTATGTGCGTTCGAGCAAAAACATTTCACCATTGAGGTGATTGAATGTTGAATTTGGGTACACTTAGTGTTGTAATTCCGCATTAATTCTTTTGGCTCAAGTTCACGGTACTACAAAAAAGTCACATTATAGCAGGATTTCACCAAGACAAAATGAAGCAATCGTCGACGATTAAATGAAAATTTGTGCCATTTTTCGCATAAGCTTCCGATAGCAGAACGAGTAAGCAACACTAGACAAAAGCATCACTGATACAGCATAGTAGTATAATACTTACAAAAGAAAATCAATCACTAGAAACGATGCGAACTGCCATTGAATTGTACCTTTTGAGAACAAATCCCGACGAAGAATTTGAAGATTCAATAGGGTATTGTTTTAATTTGTAGAGTGTTCTTTTTCAGCACTGTTGACCTTCCTAATTCCGTTTGATAATTGCAACAAAGCTGAAAGAGTTACCAGGAACCACTTATTTTAGTTACCAGGAACCACTTATTTTATCTTTCAGGTTGGTGGACGAACTTAAATTTCTTGTTTTGTGATAACGACGCACTGTTTTTGGATCAATTTCTTCCGGATGAACCAGTTTGCAACGTTTGTGCTTCTTTGATTCATAAGAGCAAGCCTAATATATTGTTTCATTTCATGACACACAATTGCTTTCGCATGTAATTCACCGTTTTCAGGGGACTTCAACCTATGAAACAGACCTGATAAATCCCGGATTTTCGGATTACAGAAACGTTACTATGGGTCGTTTCGAGTGTTGTTCATCTGATCTATGCAATTGCGCGCAGCTCAACCGATTTTCAAACATTTATTGCTACAGTGGTGAACCTACTCAAACAAACACTACTGCTCAATTACCGTATAATGCATCATCAATACCAGTTAAAACAACTCCAATGCCAGTACTAAATCTCTCTACAATTTCTCAAACAGACGGCATGTCGCGTAATACGCTGCCAACAGTTCGAAATTCTTCATGCATCAGCACTAAAACTACCTTCATACCAACAATTTTATCTTCTACTGTGACATCAAGTGCATTGCCTCAGGTTCCGTCATCTGCATTTACATCGATCCAAAAACCGTCGACGTTAGATCCAACTCAAACTTCATCTCATGTTCCGTCATCGACTGTATCTCCTACCCGAAGTTTTACTACCTCAGCCTCACCGCAAACATTATCATCATCAGTCAAAACAACTCCAGTGTCAGTATCAAGTCCCTCTACAACAAACAGTGTGTCGAGTGGTACGTTGTCAACATCGCAAAGCTATTCTTCAAAGGCATGCAAATTGAATTCATTTATTGGGATGTTGATAATGTTGTTCCTGATTGCAGTCTGTGATCGGCGGTATTCGATGCTGTGTTTATTGCTTTTGCATGTAAATGATGTTTTATTGAATTGTTCATATTGAAGTCTCATTTATTCCGAAAAAAAACTTTCTGATGAAATTATTTTTCTAATGAAATTGCTGTTTATAAATGTTCTTTCACAATGCAGATGAATTGTTGAAAAGATGATATGATAAAGTGAGCATGATTGATTCCGGTTGTTAAAAAGGCACTGACATTCATATACGATTGCATGCAGAATTTATCGATCGTGAAAGGATGATGATATGCTTGGTTGATTACATGCACTCACTTCATTTGGTTCGTCGAATGAATTGAATTCATGTCGCTCTCTCGAATGATGGCAGTATTGATAACACTAGTATTGATAACACTAATCCTTTCACCAAACATATACTAATACCTGGAATTAGAAGTAATCAAGGCAAATGCACTTTTTAAATCAGAACTATGAATTGTGCTATCGGATTTACGATACTTGAGTTTGCCATTCACGAGTGATCTGTATGTGTAGTAGTAATGAGTTATTTTTCTTATCGCATCGCAAAGTTTCATGCAATTGATAACATCGTTAGAAACAGAAGACTTCACATGTTATTCTGTACTCGATTCCTGATGCGTTCATCATTCATTTCACTGCTCTATCATTTCACTGTTTAAGAATGATTATTCATATGGAAGTGAAGATATTTGCAAGAAAAAGTAAAAACTTCCCAAATCAGTGTCAGTTTAGCCGGCAAAATGAATAGCTGATCTACGAATTATCGAACTTGACTGTCATTATGAACCAGGGGTTCTTGCATAACAACATTTTGGCACTGTTTCGTCGTGCACTGTTCCAATTTTTTTCCGGTAGGTATGGACTGAAAATGAAGCACTTCTTGTGGCCCGCTTGATATTTCGCAACGAGTTTTGGAAATGCCTTCTATGAAAACGGCACTGTAGATGATCACTTTTGTGCTGCATTTTCCACTTTATCCTTATCGCCAAGGTGCTGCCCAGTCAAAGCATGAACGAATAAATAATAATCAATCGCTACTAATCAAACCTATAAGGTGGATGACCGAACTCCTGTCAGTCAAATTATTTGTTTAGTCGTTGGGTTTCAACACCACTACGCGGTTGAGCATTATCATGGAGTAAAACAATTGCCTCGAACTGCTCGACTGACTTCTCTGATCGTGAGGTTAGCACGGTAGATTGCGGCATTTATGGTTCGACCTTCTGGGAAGAAATCGATCGACAAAATCGCTTTCAAACGTTGCACTTTACTCCCTGAATCGTGAAGGTGGTCCTAGTCTTATTCCTTGTCAGATATTAAGAGATTCCTTTCATATCGCCATTACATAAATGTACCATTTGATTTCTGAGATAATCAGAGAATCCCAAATCTTAGAGCAGTCAATATTCGTTTCGCAAAATTTTTGCGGGCATGTTCACGTTGAAAAGGCTTCAAGAGAATGGCTGCTTTAGCTGACGTCGTCATTTTTCAGGGTGCTCTCGAGGCTTGATATGGGATAGTGAAAACTGAGAAATAACGGTGAAAGTCCACGAAATTTTCAACATGCTCTTTCATGTTTATCATAGCATATTCACCGTGAAACACTTTAAAATCGAAACGAAATCTTAAATATTCGATGTGTGCTTGCGATACGAATGTTCAGAATATGTGATTCAAGGACTTATTACACAGAATATTTCCACAAAGGACGTAGTTCCACGAAATTTGCTGAGCCGTTTATTTAGCTTTCAGACATGGCCATATCACTTCTCTAATTCAATTTATGCCTCATTATGAAATCTTTATTTTCCGATGAATACAGTCGAATTGTCACAAATAATAGTCAATAACAAAACACATATCGTTAACCAACGTTACTGTGATATGACAAGGACGATCAATATTAAGGAGGCTGTCACTATTGACCCGCACCACAAGGCGGTATAGACTCGTGGCCATTTCCGAGTGGAAATACTCGATCCATAAGCTTACTAAACCAATAGCAACTAGTGTTATTGTTGACTGCTTTTGCTGTTTTAAGATGAGCATCGTTGATGTCATGAGCCGTTCGAACAGGCATATCATCTAACGGATTACGCGCTGAATTTGCTTGAATATTTGGCGGTAGCAATATCATTATGTCATTCTTCGATATACCCCAAGCTGTTTCCGTGTCTGAAAGTTGTTTCGTTCTTTTTCGATGCATTCAAAATACATCGCTATAAAGACAGCCAATTACAAGATATCGCTGTATATGATTGAAGTATCCTAAATACGATTCGGAAGACTCACTAATGTGTTTTCATTCGATCGAATCGCTGAGATAATGACTCAAAGAAGACAAACTCTAAAGCAATTTAAAATTAATGAAAATCTGTTAGTTACTCCGATCACGAAAAGATCGAGCGACAAGTTCACGTTCACTAACCGCAGTCAATGGCACGTGCGGTTTTGGTATCCGAATCGTCTGCGTACAACGTCGGAAATGGCTCAGACTGAATCGGGAGTGCGTGGCACGGTAAATCGAGTAGTGTCTTCAATAGCAGCGCATTAAGGATGGTTATATTAAAACCATCATTTCTGCGTTAAAACATCTCCGTGCGATGGATAATTCATAGAGATAGCGGCAAGTGTAAGCCAAAATTAAATCTAATCAGAAATCAGCTCTGAATTCTGTCGAAAAACAAGGATCGTAACTCCATGCACGAGTTTAATTGAGAAAGAAGTGCCCCGTTGATTCGAAATCACTCGTTGAACGGCGTTCAATTTGTTACGATCAATCATCGTTCTTGAACAAAGCAACAAACTTTCAAAAGTGATAAACCAAAACCAATCGAACGTACATCGAACGCAACAAAGCCGTCACTCTGGCAAACATCGAGTGTTTGTGCCAACTGCTGGATCGTTTGCGGATTGTTTTCAACTGGCAAACGGAACCATCGACGACAAATTTTCTCGGTGCATTGGGATACAGGTCGACAGAAAACTTGTAACAATTGTGGTGAATTTTTGATGATCGAACGTTGTGTTCCATCGAATGTCACATAGATCGGCTGTGTACATCCAGCACGCAAAAATCCTTGTGCTGGCTCGATTATTATGAATGGACTATTACCGCGAATCTCAAATTCACATCATCATTCTTTGTACAAATTGCATTCAGTTTTTAAGAACAGTGAATTTTAAGCAAGAAGTGCAACAATGCAACAATAAGTGCAACAGTGCAACAATGAAGTGAAACATTTTAAGTGCAACAATTTGCATAACAATGCTTCTAAGTTCTCAGTTAGAGATTTTTCATCTCCTATATATCGGTATCTGACAAATTTATCCGAGGAGTTTTGCAACAGAAATGTAGTAAGATAGCAATTAAATGATCGGTAGCGCATTATCGAACTGCAATGTGCACTGTTCAAAAAGACCACTCAAATAAAGAGAACTAGATAGAACAATGTCTAGAACCAACATGGTACTGCTCACCTTTACGGCATAATCACATCTGGTCCTGTTACGAATCAGAAGTCGTCGGCGGGTTGGCTGATTGTTTCTTGGAAACACGATTTCAGTTGGTTGTGCTAATGCTTAAATTCATTTATTTCATTCATTCAAACAATATTTTTCGATTCATCATCAAAAAATAAACATTTCGGTATAAACGATCATGCTGATAGTCGAAGCTTACTTTGATGAACCGTTTACAAGATGAACATGGTCTCACAAGAACTTTCTGAAAAAACAACACCAACTGCAGCACCGAAAAACAATAACATGACTTGAGTAGTTTCTGAACCGATTCAAACGACTTCATTTTACTCAACCCTCATCGAATAGATAATTCCGCGGATGTAAANTGAAAAAACAACACCAACTGCAGCACCGAAAAAACAATAACATGACTTGAGTAGTTTCTGAAGCGATTCAAACGACTTCATTTTACTCAACCCTCATCGAATAGATAATTCCGCGGATGTAAATCATTACCACCTGTTAGTTTATCCATGAAAATCTGATCCGCTCCAAATTGCATCACACCAATCAGTAAACAGAAAAAAAAAACAGAATGAATGAATTGCACAAAATGGTATTTATGTAGTTCTTGAAGATGCTAATTTCTTCCGACTGATCCACTGAAGATGTGCATTTTTCAAATTTTACATCTTTTCATAAGGGATTGGTCGATTGAAGGAACTAATTGGGCATTCATAATAATCATTTTATATGGGAGAAGCAGAATTTGAAGTGATCAACGCAAACAATCCCTTGATCAACGCTGCTAATAGTGCAGAAATTTCCTGAAATTTTCACATCAATCTTCTTCAGTGGTCCTGATTATAGCTTCGTGATGGAAGTCGAATGCAAGCAAACCACAGGAATTAATGATGTTGTTAACAAAAAAAAAATAGGCTATCAATTCACCATTGCAGCAAAATTGTCCAACGACGCAAAACGACAGAGTAATAAGTGGCAATAATCAGGGTGGACGGATGTCACTGTGAATTACACTTGAGCTTGAGCTGAGGTTCATATCGAGACTGAGATATCCATTAGACAAACAAATAGTTCCTTGGTACGAGACTCGACCTGAGTCTAAGACCAACTGTAATTTAACTCGACATCCAATTAAATGCAATCTTCAATAATCAAATGCACGAGGATTTCAATAATCAAAGCTCTAAACGGTCTTTTGGATAACCCACATATTCAATTATAGTTTAGCACTTTATTCTCTTCAGTTTTTAATATAATTTGCACACGTAAGGCGTTGAGTAATTTTTAAGCTTGGGAGGTCCTGTCGGGAGCAAAATATGAAAGCGTTTCTAGTGAATAATGATGCATTTTATCATTCGGTCTCAACGAGTGTTTGCAATATCATTCATTGTATGCGGATGTGATGAACTGTAAACAACTCGTCAAATATACACAATATTTATACGCTTTTATGAATATACACATTTCACTGCAAAATTCCAACTGGAGAATACAACAACAAAAATATATTTGATATAACACATATTCGAAACAATCGCAAGTTCAGATTGTTTCAATTATGCAGCATTATGAGTGGTAAAAGTAACGAACGAAAAGGACGAGATCACAGTTAAGACAGTGAGTGTTACAAAATAAAGCATAAAATACCGCTTTCTATGATTCACCAACACAGATCATTTTCATATGCAATACAAAATCATAAAACAGCATTCACTTTGTGGTGTTTAATTCGATGCAAAATCTTCGAAAATATTTCAAACGCTGCAAACTGAACTTTATCAATTAATTCTTTAAGAAAGTGAAAAAAATAGGAAAAGTGAGCGATACAACCAAACAAGCAAAAACGGAACTTCAACGGCACAAAGAGACATGCAATAATCAATTTGCACCACATCATTCAAAGATGGAAATTTTTTGGTTCCGTAAGCAGAGTTGACCGCTCCAGAAAAAAAAGAACTTGTCGAAATAAAACATTAAAAAAAAACATTGTAGTACCATAAGATGAGAACTATCTCGTTTAAAAAATTTGCGGAACAAATTATCAATCAAATGACCATTAAAAACCACGATGAGTATTTGGTGGTATGAAAGACGAAGATTCTAATATTAAACATAATGAGCGAAGCTACCTCGTGGTCGTTGAGATATTAAANAATGAAAAACTGATTTAGATTGTGATCTCCCGACGACGGATTAGCACAAGTTTCACTGAACCGCAAAATTTAGCATACTGCTCTCAAATTCATTGATGAATTACGGCTAAGCACTGAAGTGATCATAAGTGAAGCTGAAAATTTCGACATATTACCACATTCAAATGGAAAAGATCCTAGAAAGATAAGGAACACAAGAATCTGCAATATGAAGACGAATCATAAAAACATATTGAACAAAAGAAGAAAAACTAGTAAAGAAATTAGAGAAAACGGGCATAAATATAGTAAACTGGCAAAAATCATAAAAATTAGAGAAACGCCAACTAGTACACACCAAATCCTACAGTTTCAACAGATTTTAAAAGCACACAATGCAGTCCTATTAACAGATTCGTTACATTGTTCAACTACTCAAAGGAGGAGAATATAGAAATAGAATTTCTTCACTCGTTAAAGAAATATTTCGCAGAGTGCATGCATCAAATTCAAGCTGATTTGACGGCCACATTTTCAGTAGGATCCATCATTGGGGGATCATTATTACTATTATTTGAAGCCGAGTCGCTACTTTCAGATGCGCATTTCAAGGAAGTTCTTTCACTGACATTATGCCATGACGGTATAAACAGATCATCTATTTCACCTTCACGATCGCACTTTTCAATTTTAGATGTATACTGAAAAGAATTTGCTATTTGATGATCAAATGAATATTTTGATGAACGAGAACGATTAATCAATAGCGTTTTGTTCATCAAAAATATTACGTCGGATTACACAAAACAGGAACACCCACTTTCAGATCAAATAATTATTCGATAAAATTGTTTCAAAACAACCAGTGGCTATGATTTTACTAAAGTACTCGGGCAACAAATAAAATTCACTTGAAATACATTTCAAAAAAGCTAACTGACGACGTGAAAGTAAATCGACGACGCAAAACCAACCCGATCGAGGCGATCTAAAAGCCGTTCGCGAGCTGACTCCGAAACACGTAAAGAATCCATGAGACCATCTGAAGGCTGTCTTTTGATCGCGTCGTTTTGCTCATCCTCATCTTCTTCCTCAACGTTTGCTGGCTCTTCATCAACTTTATTCGACGACGAGTGATTTTTTAATGAATATCCCCCTCCAACTTCATCTTTACTCAGATCAATTCCATATCTCGCCAGAAATTTTACCATCACATCGAATTTGTTCTGAACGAATTACAGATTAAGTTTCTTTAAATATGAACGGAACAGTAACATTTTAGCCACAAACGGATATTTTGTAACAGAATTAAGGAAAATAAAAAAAGTCACGAAGATGGAAGAATGGATCATACATGATTTATCATATATGCTACACAATAATTTCCAGCTCTCACTGAAAATGAACGGGGCATTATTCTTTCATTTTGAAATCAATGAAAAGAATTCGTTCTTTAGAACAAATACCCGTTCAATAAATGACGCTAATCATTCAATTTACAAAACCAATCAGTGAATAAAGTGGCGGAAAGAAAAGTAATGAAACCTGTCTTAAGCGATTTCCTTCCCTCAACGAATCATTCCTAAGCTTCATCGCTTTCAACAATGTTTCCATTTGTTCCAGAAACAACTCTCGTTTGTTGTATTTTCGCTGCAGCGTATCATTTTGCAATTGTGCTGCTATTAGACGCTTCTCTATTTTCTGCATATCATTCGTCCTTGCTGTACCTGTTATATGCATTCGATTAATGATTTGAACGAAACGCTAACACATTCGCCGAACATAATTCTGATATGATTCTTATTTTAAAAAAAAATTATTTAACAAAAACAAAGTGATAATGCCAATTAACAGATGAAATACTTAAAATGAAGGTCTCTAAATATGAAAATGCATAGTTTCACTGAAGTGAAGAATCAATTTTCATGCAAAAGAGTGATTAATGTTATTATTCGAAATTATTGTGGATGAAATATAGAGAACAGTCACCAACATTGATTGATGCTTTCAAGAAGACGATCGTGAATATGTTCCAGTTCTTTATCACGATCTTTCAGTAGTCTCTTCAGTTCCTCCTTCTCACTGTTTGACTTTATTAGTCGATCGTTTTGCTGATCTGCATAGACACCCATCTTCTCCAGTTCAGTTCGAAAATCCTTGAACCAAATAACTCAAATTCATTTTATCTTAATACCGGGAATTCCAAAAGCGCTTAATCTGTAGGAACAGGAACCATAAGAGAGCGCAGCAATGACGAAAAGAAATCTAATGACGACAAGTCTAGCTTTATTCGGTCCGAGTGATCAACTAAACTTTCCAAACTATCAGAGAATCGACAAAATATAACAATTTTACATGCACTTACCACTTGAGCCTAACCCAAACCTAAACTCAAATAAGCGTCACTCTTTAAAAAGAGTGAACCAGAATGAATCCAAAAAATAAAGCAAAAATAGCTATGAAAGAATGCATTAATAACAAACTTCCAAATATTCAGTTGCTTTGCGGTACGCAGTTGATTTTTCTTCAAGATCGAGTTGCAGCTCATGGATGATTCCTTTCAAACCAGCATTACTCGTATCAAGCGCTTGATTACGTTCGGTTAATTGATCGACCCGGTTTCGCAAATCGATCACTTTTCTATTTTCTTCCCTGAATTACAATCAGTTACCAAATCTTTCTTGATATTTATCATGAAGTTTAAGGGATATTCATGATAGTCACTTAATTGAAAGGCTATGTTGAAGTGCACATGAATTATGAGAAGAAAATAGCAACAGAAAATTAGCAATATTAAAACTTACATAAAGCGAATATCAGCTAATAAAATGGTAATGAGAAAATATTCACTTTATCTGTAGCCTCAGTGTTTCCGTTTTCGCCTCATAAATGGCATATCTATCTTGCGCAGCTCGAAGCTCTTCGGTCAGCACGCGACGATCTTCTAGCGCCTCCAACGAGAAATTACATTCGATCAAATCACAATTTCATATTACGGACTCAATATAATATTACAAAGAAATTGATGAATACTAAAAATGTTGGAATGAAACTCAAACATTCGAAAAAATTAGCGTGATAACCATTATTCAGAATTGGGATGCAAAAAAATCACTAATTCTAACTTTTGCAATCCAACAAGAGCATTTACTTCAAAATAAAAAACGATCACTAAATCAAATTGTTGTAATTTAACCAGAGCACTTGCGTTGGATTTCGGTATGTGACCAAATGAAATGTAATTGAAAGAGAGGGAAAAGAGTAACACCAACCTCATCTCTAGCATTCTGAAGTTCTTCACATTTACGTCTATTATCATTCGATGTCGTGAGCGTTTTCCGAAGTGCAAGGTCCAGATTAGCAAAGAAACGATTCACCTACAGAACGGCATTAAGGGGAAGGCTATCTCAACTCAAAATGATTGAATGAACGAAAGCTCAAAATGATTGAGCAATTAAGAATCTGATGGGATGAAAAACAAAAATCAAATGTAAATAGCAGTCCGAAGATGAACGTTCACATTAATAACGTTGTGGATATCACAAACATACCGCTTCATCGATAAGCTCAACTGATTGTGATGAGTGAGAAGATTCGATGAGAAGATGCTCCAAAAGTTGACGAATATTCGGAGTCAACTTGCCGTTTACCTGAAACATGGTGCAATGATTTCCATGAAAGAAGATAACCCATACCATTCATGAAAACATCAGTTAAAAATTGGAGAACGGACTCCACAGAAAATTAATTCAGCCTAGGTAAATTTGTTATTCAGCAATGAATTTTCATAATCAAACGAACCTGTGCCGTACGGACTGCCCTCAATAAGGCTGGTATAGATGACTGAATATTGCCATTTTGATCAATACCTTCAGCAGGGGGAATTGCAACGTTATCTTCAATGGTTTTCTCAGATAGCATCGTATCACTATTCGATGCAGTTGAAGTACGAATCGCCGGTAACTCATTGCCGGATTGCGTTCTATCTGGTGAGGAATAAATCGCTGCTAAACCATCACAATCAGTCATTTTATCTTCCATTATCTAAAAGTAAGAAATGATTCTTATCAGTAGTTGACCGCAACGATAGTAATAAATATTAGAAGAATACATCAATGCACGACCGAACTCAATATTAATCAAATATCATTTGAATAATGGTAGGAAGCATGAAGAACATCAACAAAACAAAAATTTACCTTGGAATGCTGACTTTTCATTGACTCATTCCCTTTCAGAACATAACTGTGCATCATTTGTTGTATAACACCATCCAGTTCTTTATAACGCTGGAATTTCAAACTGAAATATCTCGAACGAAAGAATTTCGTTGTTAATATTCGTTTAAGTTCCCATACTTAAACAGAAACGAAATTTAACTAATTCATCATGATGAATGAAGTTAATCCAGATCGTTGACGCAATACAAACAACGCTACGATGACTCTTCAAGAAACATAAATTAAGCATTCCCCAACCTTTCCACAGTTAATTTTCTTGTCAGTTTCAATAGGTAAAATTAAAATGTTGCTGGCATCTACCCAATAAAGGGAAACGTTCGAAAGGAACGACTTAACTGCATTTCATTTGTTGTACAACAAATGAAATACAGTTGAACTAAAACAAATGAACTAAAACGTAACTTATCATGAGTGTCACATAGAGAACATCAAAACAGAAACTCAAAACAATTTGAAATGTAATAACACCAATGATAACCTGTTTGAATATCTCAATCTGCTCACGTATCTCTTCAGGCATTGATTCCCATACGGTTGCATTCAGCGTTTCATTAGAAGTATTCGACTGAACGCAAACGGAAGATGCCATCCCTTTATTAAAAAATGAGAAAATTGAATCTATCAATGTTTAATGCCTCCGTTTACAAATTTTCCATTTTTACAAATTTTCGGTTCTCATAGTACTGAATAACAGTACAATGAAATTTCCTTCAATAATTGCTTTCATGTTTTTTAGTTTAAAAAGTAATCAAAGACATCCTAAAAATTCAGGCTAACCGGGATATGACTCATATTCGGCGATACGAGTATGTAATCTATCAAGCCGTTCATCCTTCTCGCGAATCACTCCCCGCAGTTGCTCCATTTCTGTCTGATATTGAAATTCAGCACCAGTCTATAAGCACATCGAACTTAATCAGTACTAACACAATTCAATACAAATTATTTCATCCCAAGGAACTGTCAAAATATTCTAATATTGATTCATCATCGAGTGTCAAAATCAATCAATTCTTTGCTAACGATAAGTGTTAAACGCTACATAATCAAATCACTTTTCTTTGCTCAATAATCGACTCGGATTCATCCTACTCGCGCAACAGCTTATTTCTAGTACGCAAAATAATAAACAAATATCATTTCGGAAATCTATGAAATAGAGCAATGAACAATTGGGACTAGATATAGCGAACTTTAAACCCAGAATGATCGCAAGGATCGAACCGAACCTGGAATGTAAGGAAATCAGCGTCTTTCTTATCAATATCAATTTCTAATTGAGCGCATTTACGCTTCAATTCATTGCGCTCGTCTTCCAACGCATCCTGAAGAATTTCGTTTTTACTGTTATAGACGATATAAACCAACATGGTTCTCAAAAAAGTTCGCAAAGTAAAATTGAACGATCGGAACGAATTTGCTGAAGTGTTTGGCACCGATAGCAGGCAGATACAAATACAATAGTAATTAAACAATTGATCAAAGAAGACTCTCGGGCTTTCACAGTGAATATAAATTTCGTAGCAACGATGCCTACTCACCAATTGTTTTCGTTTATCGCTGAGAGCGTCTCTTAATGCAACCAATTCATTTTCTTGTTTATCTATAACATTTCTCATCTCATCGTTATTTCGCTTGAATATCGCCCATTCGGCCTACAATATTTCACACAGTTTTTATCGCACACAATGTTAATACAAGTCAAAATCAATTTGAATAACTGTTCCCATATTTGCTTATAAACTTTGCAAAATTACAATTCCATAACCATCAAAAACGACTGTATTTTTGATAAGTTTTGCATTTTACTATAAACGATTTCTTTTTGAACTTCATCAGATCCGGATTACCAAATAAAATTATCAATTATAGCAATAAGCAATAAAAAATATAATTATAGCAATAGCAATATAGCAATAAAAAATTAGCAATAAAAAACATGAAGATGAATATGCAACTCAAGTGAATTACGTTTGGTCGTTTAGAACATGAACATGAGAAGCGCTTGAAAATGTTGCGCATTACGGGAGACATACCGTCGCAGAGAATGAATTAATGAATTGCCAACGAATAATATTTGTAACAGCGATAACAAAAAAACGAAAGTTCATAACAGAGAGAGACGACCAATAAAAATGACTGCAACAGAAAAGATAATTGAAAACCTGATTTTGAACTGACAAAAACGACTAAGAAAAGAATGTTTTACAAAATTATTCGCTTAGTAATTCAACAAAACCTCCAACACCATCACGTCAACTCAAAAATTTTGACGAAATATCAACAACGATAATATTAAATATTCGTTTGATGGTTGCGCGTCAACATAAATCGACATATCAACATAATATCAACAACAAAGAAACGCCAGACCTAATGAAAATGACTGTAGACCAAAGAAAAAGAGAGAACTACGGTGAAAAACAATTTTAAAAAATGACATTTACATCTGAAAAATATCTTTTTTGTTTGGAGAGCGTAAAGAGAAAATAACTGAAATTTTTTTCATTCATTCACAACTCAACTTTTGTAAATAAACAATAGCAAACAATTCTATATGATATTATATGTGAACACCGGATTTTGAGATAGCAAATATTAATTGAATTAGTGAACAATCATAACATTCTAATTACATCCTCTGAACTTCTATTCCTTGATTGCGTAATTCTATATATATATATATAATGCTTTGATGTATTTTCAGAAGGAATTCATGCAACCTCTGGGAACACTTATCATCATGTTTTACTTAACGTCTCCTGGGATTATATAGCATTTCTTTATTGCTACAACCATTCTAGTTTTTGTTGGCCCGACGGCGGAAAATAAATTTTAAAAAAAGTATCAGAACCTTTATAACACGATCTTGATCGAGTTCCTTCCGAAGTGCTTCACATTCACTCTTTAAACGTTGCATTTCTTGAGAAGATTGCATCCGTTCATTTGCAGAATTCGATAGCATCTTCATTTCCTTAAAACATATATTTGTCATTTGGGAAAAGAAGAAAATATCTATAGGTTCATCCAAAAAATAATTTTGAGTTGCTTAAACTCGATGAGTTTGGGGACCAAACAGAAATTATTAATCAACATCAACTTGGGGTGATATCATCTTGTATACATATTTATATTTATATATCGTGATAAGACTATCAAAATTTGTTTAAAAAGTGAACTATTGAAAGTTATTATGTGTCAACAAAACAAATCATGAGGCTGTGAGCGTGGCTGTAAGGAAAGAAGCAGAATTATCAGGAGAATATGAATATTTCATTCGATTGATGACATACCAATATGGCTCAGGTGAATGGGTAAAACTCACATCAAGTTTGGATCGAAGATGAGAGATTTCATCACGATCTTTTTTAGTAATATCACGTTGCACCTTAAGTTGCGTGGACAGTTCAGCGACCTTTAAATGTTAATTTGATTAATTATTCATTTAGTCAATTATCTTATCAATTCATTTATAACAATTCACATAATAAACGGCCTACACCGCTCATAAATAAATGAACAATTGAACCATCGTAAACAAACAAATGAATGAGACAACAAACCTTACTAAGTTGATCATGCAGTTGCTTTGAGGTTTCATCAAGACGTGATTCCACCTCTTCATAACGTTTCAGTTGAGCATCTTGCTTAGTCACTGTTGAATCGAGTCTTGTTGCCTTTTCACGCCATTCCGCCAACTGGCGACGTTCTTCATTTGCTGACGCCAATAAAGCTTCTTTCTCTCTCATCAATTCCTTCATAATACGACAAAATTTATCAAAAGTTGAGATAGTTTGATCAATCAAATAAAAGATTGATAGCAATAGGAACAAATAAGCATGCGAAGAACTCACAGAATTTTAACAGAAAGATTCAAGTATATCAAATCCTTAAAATTCAAACATGAAAAGAGGACAACATCAATTGAACTGAACACCTTTTCACGCTGTTCAGCGTTTCGCTTCAACTCATCAATGACTTTTTCATTACGCTGATTTTCACTTTGCAGACTTTCGATTGCCTTTCGATCTGATTCCTGAATTCATTGGATCGGTTGCAGCTCAACGTATAGACGATATTAATATATACGTACGTAGCATCTCATCGCAACAAACTGGATTTTAACAATCATTAAAGAAACTTAATAAACTGAATCATCAGGCTGCCGTCAACTTTACCAATCAGGAAGTAAGTATCACGTCCAAGAGATCGTTGATGGGCATTCAGAAACAAGGCGTTTATAGAAATCAATTAAGTACACGAAGTTTGCAAATTTGAAAGTGAATAAATAAATAAATATTCTACTGGTTAATCAATGAATCAATAGCCTCTGCAGTTAAGCAATTGATCATTTAGATCAGAGTTTCTCGAGCGGGGGTGCACGCATCTTCTGAGGTGTGAACGAGAGGGCTAGGTGAGAGGTGCGAGATAATGTTATACTTTTTACACAGTAAAGTAGCCGAGGACGGAGTTCAACGCATCTACTTTTGAAAAGATCAGAACGTACTACAGACACTCACTGTAGTGGATGAGAGATACAAAGTGGGTGTTATGAGGGATGCGTGCACATTTTTATTATTGTTGCAAGCGGTGCGAGGACAACTTAAAATTTTTTAGGGGGTGCAAAGGAGAAAAATGATTGAAAGCCACTGATTTAGGTGGATCAACTTCGGGAAATAAAAAATAATGCTGATCGCTCATAACGATATAATATTACACTGAAATTTCAATTCAGTGATAAATAAAGCAAAAAATTCATTTGCGATAAGAAGTATATGAGTACATACCTTATCGACTTCCACTTCAATGGTGATATTCTGAAGGGTTTCAATCTTCTTCACAGCCAAAGATAATTCCTGTTTGCATTTCACTAGAGCTGTTTCTTTCTCTTCGGATAACTTCTGAAATTACATCTCTTCGGAAGTCTGCCATAAAATATTTGATGATGAAACCGCGAAGTAAGCTATAAGGTTGAGGATTACTTGTGCTCACCTTATAGTGCTCCAGTTCTGTCAACAGTTCATTTCGTTTCGCGTTCAACTCATTGATAATATCCTCGGCAGCACCGACCTTCAAATGAATAGTGATATTTTGAATGCAATCCAAACTCTGCGGAATAAAACACCTGAACGATTATTCGCATACTATAAGCAAAATCGAATACTATCTACAATCAAACGCACTCGAATCTGTACGAAAATAGACGAGAAATGAATATGAAAAAACTGATGTGCCGTTGTAGAAGACCAACCATATTGGGGCCATTCATAAGCGAAAGTAAGAATAATGACGTAATATAAAATTTACAAGCAAACAACAGAAATTTTAATAATTCAGTTGTTTCCTCCTTCAACAATCATTATTTATATAAGAAACGCAGTCACAGTTCAACGTCCTTGAATGAGCTCGAACAATGGCAACTTCGATAAAATAGCAACTTCGTAAGTTGCGCCCCACGAATAAGCAACAACATAAAATCGTTTGACAAATCGCTTTCAACTTACATCAAGCAGCAACTGATAGGACAGAATTTTAAATAATATAATCCATTTCTGTCAGCGTCAGCAAATGTTAATATTAATGATCATTCTAACTAATTGAATTTTAAATCTATTCAGCTTCGAACTTAAACTAAATGCAACAGTAAATGACACCAAACTCCGGTATTGCTGCGTTTCAAATATCCACTAAGAAATGATTCCCAACAATAAAGCTTCAAATGAACAGCACAAAAATGAACGAACTCGTGCTTGTAGGTCTGCACTGATTTGTCGCATTGAATCCATTTGTTGACGGCTTTTCTCTTGTTCTTCACTCAATTCCAACAATTTCAGTTGCTTTGACACAACTTCTGATGCCCATTCTGAAAATTATTTCTTATTCCTTACTCAAATTTTTCGCAGTTTGCAAGTAAATATTTCACATTTCCCAAAAACAGATGCGTCAGTACGAGCAAATCATTTCATTTCAGCACGAAATGATTTTTGCATGGGAAAAACAATCAACTTTTTGGATTAACTTATTCAGAAATAAAATGAATTTTATCGAAAATTATACTCCGCGGTATGAATCACCTCCGCGCAGCTATTCAAAAAAAAAAACGTGAAAAACATCAAAGACAGAATGAATAAAGAGTCTAATGTCAACACTCTCGATGACAATTTTCAATCGCAGATTTTTTCAGTTAGTCACACCAACAAAAAATCTAGGTAATCAATAGAGACTTATCGGCTTCGAAGAACATTTTTTCGAGCAAGATTGAGGGAAATTTTGAGAAAACTTAATAAAAAATTGGTGTTGATGTGGCCAACGAACGATCACAATCGTCATAAACTCTTCTCAAAAACAGGTCCATAAATAAAAATTCATATCTTGATGGAAAAGAAGAAATAATCATAAGGAATCGTGATTGACTGCTGCCTCCCGAATCAGGGACAGGCACACACAAGGATGAATAAGCAGCAGTGACGATTACACACAGTTAAGCTATTGAAGAAAGCAAAATGAGTGAATGTTACGATGAGATGTATATTGAAAACAGTGAATCACACCAATTATAAAAACGAGCAATTCGATATACTGCATAATGTTTGAAAACAATTTTATCATCTCATCGAAATAAGGAGAACTGGAATGAATTGTATTCATTATCGCTAATAGGATCAAAGAATTTCAAAGATGAATTTTGAACAGAAGTTCATTAGCCTGACAAATACTTGTTTCATATTATGAAAAAAAGCACTGATACGAATTCTTTTTGTCATTAAGAAGCCATCGGGAACAACTATTAACTGAATCGAACTGCTCGTGGATTCTTAAAATACATGAAATTACCGAATGCAGAATAATCACCGATCTTATCTTCGCTTCCATCCTCATTCTCACAATTGCAGTTCTTATTTGAATTCACTGACGCTTCATTCTCTTCATTAGTCGACTCTTGCACTGCTGACAAATCGATTGCAAACGGTGATTTTGAGATTTGTGACTGTAATCTTCGAGAAGCGGAGGCATGTGATGAAAATTTTGGAGTTGACGTTATCGGTTGTGACGACGTTGGTTCAGTCTGAAATAGNTAGGCAAATGATTGATGAATCAATTTGCATACAGTATGCAGATAAACGAACTGATGGTTGATTATTATACAGTAATTCACTTTTGTATTATATTCACATTAAATTTTCACTAATTCGACAATTCAAACATGAAATCTTCCTCAATCTTTCAAGACTCAAACACATCAATGTGCAAATGAATTCAACTGGATGTAAAGTGATTGGTTAACAAAATAAATAATGTACCACTTAAATGATACACATACATCGTCAATGGAAGTATCTGACGCTTGAGCCTGTGATTGGGTTTTCTCATCTCGAGGGGTGTTTAGTTCAGATCCAATTCCATCATCCGTATCATCCATTACACGACAACACTATCACAAAACAAATATATCCCAAATAAGAAATACTTACAATGATATTACGATTTATCTTTGAAAAGTAGTTTTACCTGAAAAATACAGAAATTTATATCCAACAGCTGCACTGAATGTGGCACCGAAATACGAAGAAAATTCTAACGCGAAAAAAACTTCGAAATAAAACTACGCGTCTTCTTCATATTCATTTCTAACAACTGGCTCACATCGAAAGTTAAGTCGTTGAGAAAGCAGAACGAAATTGCAAGCAAACGAGCTGAAATTTGCGGTATGATAGAGTGTGTACTAGTAAGAGGTGAAGATGTACACGAAAGCTCAGCAAAATTTGTCCAAAACAAAAAAAACTATGAAAAATGAGAGAAAATTTTCAACAAAACAGTAAGACAAATAATGTTCCGATAAAACGTGAGAAGAAATATAATCGGTGCTTCAAGATTCTTTAGCATCTTTCACAGGCTTATGAATAGATCAACACAAGAAAGAATCTCCGCACTGAGCAATCAAAACAAAAATACTAGGTTTCATTGATGAAGACATTTTCAAAAAACAGAAAACAAACACAATCGTATGAATTCTG